CCCTTCGAGCCTAGTTTAAAGCTCTGTTGATTTGCCCAGGAACTAGTGCGGCTCAGATCCTCTTCCCCCTTTGAGAGAGATGAATCCCATCAGGGTTCATCAGGCCTGGTGCCATGTGGGCTGCCCCATTGTCAAAGAACCCAAAGTTGTGGTGTTGCCAATAGCCACGGAGCCATGCCTTTATGGACTGCGGCCGCCTTTGCTGCCCTCAACTGGAAGGAGGGATGAGAATATTACCTGTGCCCCCGAATCCTTCAGTGACTGCCATAAGAGCCTGAAGTCCCTTTTGATTGCCTTCATGGTGCGTGTCTCTGCTTCGTCCCCACCCACATGGAGGAGCAGCAGTGGGTAATAGTCAGAGGGCTGTACCAGGCTGGGGAGTTTCCTAGTGATGTCCTTGACATGGGCCCCAGCAGACTTCTCTGAGAGGAGGGTCTGCCCTGCATATCGGGCCCTCTGTACCCTTCAGATGGGAATCCCCTACAACTCCCCTATAAATACAGTAAAGTGTGCTACGTGGAATTTGCTAGGATAAGAAAATATCTTGGATCTCTTTAGCAATTCACTTTTCTGGGGGAGCTTGGAATTCTTCTCCCAAGGTGTATTTCAGATACATTAATACAGCCGGAGCCTCCTATCTGTTGCACAGGGGTATGTGGGAAGACGAGGTGGGTGAGGAGAAGGTTCGCCTGCCGCAACGTGCGTGGACTTGTTTCCATTTCCATTCACTCCCCTCTTTGAGGCTGCTGCCTTCTGCCTGGCAAGGGGAGGATACAGGGGCCCCTTCAACTTGGCCTTGGTCTGTTAGATCTGCCTCAGGGAGGGCAGAGCTTGGCTCCACCAGTCTATCTCTCAGCCTCTCTGATGCTCCGTAACCTCTCCACTTCTTCACGGAGTTCTGCCACCAGGCTGAGCAGATCGTCCACTTGGTCACACCTCAGGCAGCTCATCTCACTACTGCCTTCCCCTGCCAGTGCCAAGCTCAGACACTCCCTGCAGCCTGAGATCTGGGTGGCTGCGTGCTTCCCTGGGAGCTCTGTCTGTGTTGCTACATCCGTTACGCTGTGTTGCTACATCCCTTCTGGCGAGCACAGAGCTTAGGGCTTTCTGCCTGGTGGGTGCCATGGCTGAACTCCTGTGAGAGAGTGATGACCACCAGTGAACTCTCCTCCTGAGCAGGTAGACTGACTAGGCCCTGCCCGCACGAACTGCCACGCAAACTGCCGCACCACACCCTGGCTGATGCTCCACGCTCTGTTTGCCCACTCTGTTCGCCTCACTCCCTAGGCTGCTTCTTATAGGTGTCGGGGTTGGGCGCCGTTGCTTTGGCAATGCCCAGGTCTCGTCAACAGTTCCCGCGAGAGCAGCTGGCTCGTGGCGGCTCTTTTCCACATCTCTGGCGTTTCCCTGCTTCTGGAAAGTCAGGAAAAACCCCTCGTGCGCCTGGATCTGCCGCTCCACTGTGAGTCGGGCCAGCACCGGAGCTGTGCTCTTTGGCGACTGACTGCTGGGGTCTGATCAGATGGATGAAAAAGCATTGTTTAAGAGTAAGCTGCTTTGTGACAAAGGCCTCCGAATGGGTGTGCAGCGCAGAGAGTCTGCAATTAATACATACAGCTATAGATGGGTAATTTGAGGTTCTTAGTAGTATTGTAATAACCAAGTTACCAGTGGTTGTGGTGTAAGTGGTGAAGTTTTCCGGCAGTAAAACCCGGTAGGGTGGGGTTTTTTTTGCCTTGCTCTGTTTCGTGGGTTATGACCACTTGTAGGTGACTCTAGAAAGCATCACTTAACTGTTGTCTGCTCTTCAAAGGGCTTAAGATGCTGGTGTTGGTCTTTATTTCTCCTTGTCTCACCTTGTCTCACAATGGTTTGTGGCTTTTGACCTTCTACTGTTGTGTCAGATTTGTTACTGAGAAATGATGTATGACTGTGCAAAGAGAGAGAGACTTTTGAGTCATCCTCTGGATTAGATATCCCTGAAATTCCAGTGGGCTGGGTTTGAGATCTAGAGGGGACGCTTCTGTCTCATCACTTTCATTCTGGTGTTTAAGAAGGTCAGTTGTTTGTTCAAAACCCCAGTGTTTTCAAGTGGCAATACAGGCTAGTTCAAGTGGGTCATACAGCTATATAAAATAAAAGAGAATGTGGAAAATTGTCCCTAGATAAAAGCCTTTCCTTAGCCCTACCTTTTTTTTTTTTTTTTTCAAAAAGTCCTTGTGACAGAGCTTCTGGCAGGAGAACAGAAGAGTGTGAACATCATTGCAGTAGAGAGCAGAGAAGGTTAAGCACTGAGATCAAAGGGAACTAGTAGGGCTGTAAATCCTCCATTGTGGAGGATCAGACTGCACCCTTCCATGGTTGGCTGATCAGAGGGAGTGCTGCTTCTGGAGATTGTCGAGGCAGGAAAAACCCTTGCCCGTATCCCTTCTTCTTTCAGGGCAAAACCAGCGGGCTCACGTGGGTAGACTTTGCATGGTGTTTCCGTTTTGGCTCACATCTTTGGTTAGTGGCAGCAGCCTGTGAGAAGTTGATGTGGCAGCCTGCATTTTCCTCTTGAAAATCAGAATTGTGACCAGCAGGTTGAGGGAGGTGATCCTGCCCCTCTACTCCGCTCTTGTGAGACCCCACCTGGAGTACTGCGTCCAGCTCTGGGGTCCCCAGTACAGGAGAGACATGGAGCTGTTGGAGA